GTTGAAATTTTTTTTAATGAATCTATAAATTTTGATCAAGGAGTGTAATTTTTTACTTAGACCGTAAAATTTCTAAATACGATTTTGTTTTTAATATAGAATAAATGTCTGCCCTATTAAAACCCATGAGAACTACTTAAAACCTAACAACTGAAGCAATTTTTGAATCTAATACCTATTACTCCATGATAATTCAAACCAGGAGGGTCATTTCAATTTTTCTTTTTTTGGGGTGTACGAAATTTCAAGTAGGTAATAAAAATAGATATACCTACTTAAGTAAATTATTCTTCATTTAAGTTTTTCCATAGATTATGATTCACAATCAATAATCAAAATCAATAAACAATTCACAATCATAAGTAATAAATATAAATTGTAATAATACATACTATTTTGAGATTATATAATATAACGTAGTGTCGGGGTCGTGGCAATATTTGAATTTTATATTTATCAATTCAGTAGCGTTATCAATTGTTGCCATTAACTGCGCGGTAAAAAAGTCGTGATAAAAACAGTTACGAACATCAACCTCAATATCTTGCGTCCGGTACGAATATTAATGTTCAGTATGATATATTTATTGTTAACAATTGTTTGTTTATTAACCATGTAACCATGATAATAAAATGTTTTTGAAATTTAAATTTATGTATAAAAATTGGTGCATTATTTTTGCNTTGTTTGTTTATTAACCATGTAACCATGATAATAAAATGTTTTTGAAATTTAAATTTATGTATAAAAATTGGTGCATTATTTTAACAAACCCAATTGGGACTGTTTTAAAGTAGGGGTGCAATCGTACACCCTGACACCCTCCCCCAAATGACGCCCCTGGTGCAAACATAGAAATTTAACTAATATTTGGCAATATCTTAAATGAAAATCGTAGCGCAGTTTAGTGTCATCACTAAAAAATATATTAAATATCAAAATTGTCTGTTGAAATTATTTAATTTAAATATAGATTCGGTTTATAAATAGACAACCTAAGTACATTTATTTCCAGTAGGTCCAAGTAAAATCACATAAATTATGAATAGTTATGTTCGATTTAAGTGGTATTTCAATCTTTCATTTATTTATAACATCAAGGAGCGTACAAGAGCACAACCATGACCTCAATGATTAGGAGAAACTTAAAACGCCTGCGGCATAATAATATATTACTAAATTTCTTTGAATTTTAAGAGAGATGCCAAAAAATCACTAAAGAAATATAAAAGGATTATTCAATTACATTTATTATGAGATAATTTTGAAGTTTTTATTGTTTTTCTCCTAAAAATACTATAATACTATAATAAATACATTTATGAGATGCTCCGAAGCTAACCAATTAACTACAATTTTTTTTCAAATCACTTTCTTTCAAAAGTATTCACTATTTTAATCCAACAATGCTATTTTAATACTTTTAATAATACTCATAGTAATAATAACGTGGTTTAATTAAAAAAGTGAATACTTCTAAAATAAAGTGATTTCAACAAATTGGAGTTATTGGGCTTGGCTTAGTGGTGTATTTAGAGTAAGGTACGTGACTGGAAAATGCTAATATTTTTTCAAGCAATGTAATAATGTAAAATTATATCAGTCTTTAATATTAATTAAAAAAAATTATCACTCTTTTGAAATTTGGTTGTGTAAAAAAAAAAAAGGATTTTTAATGTGTGTTTCAATTATGTATGTAGTATTTTTGTGTTCTTTTTTTTCAATTTCTATGTAGCCAATTAAAATAAAGTTTTGATCAAAAACAAAATATATATATCATTTAAATTTGATGGTACTTTATCGATGAAAAATTTTTTTTGTATCCTCCCATTATACATTTTTAAATACGTCCCTGAAACACATTATATGCATTTGCTAATTTTAATCAATCGAGTGTTAATAAAAATATACTTAAAATATTTTACTAAGAAAAAAAGAAATTTTTTATGCATAAAAATAACATTCTTACTTAAACAATATTTATAGAGTCTAAATTAAATTTAAGGAGTTTATTATTTTTAGATTTAATATTCGATTTTTAATAAATGTTCTTAGAGGAATTTATACGACATAATAAGCCATATAACTTTCAAATTAATGTAACGAAATCAATTTTAAATCTTTTAATTAAAATAAATCATTTAAAATTAAAACTATGTACTACTAAAAGTCAAACATTACATTTTGCCTTAAAGGGCATAGTAGATAGATTTATTATGATAGCACACTTTATTTACTAAATAAGTTTGATAGTAATCAATTTTAATCAGTGGTGTTTTCGGGAGATACGCAGATATACGGTATATACCAACTAACTTTTTTTAAATTAATGAATACTCTAGAAAAATAATACTTATATGCTATTTTTATTGAAGGATATACGCTGATTTGTGATCATATATCCTAAAATAAAAAAAGGAAATTTTGTGAAAACACCTCTAATTTTAATTTAAAGCGTTGTTGTTTTCTAGATAAATATGAACCAAGTGTATTTAAAAATAATTTCTAATTATACAAAATGCGCAAAGGACAAAACGAAATTATACTAATGACCCGTGCAACAAGTGAATATAATGTTTTATAATTAACTGTCAATTATATAAAAAAATAATTCATAAATATTTAAATACAGTTTAATATAATCCCTAAAGAATAAAATTTATTAGAATTTACCTTTTAATACAATTGTTTTTCGTTTTTATTCGACAAAAGTATTATTGTGTCGTCGACCTAAACTACAATGGCCATCCATCTAAAAGTTTAAAATCTTTCGGAAGAAAAAAACTCAAAAAAATGCAAATAGAATGTGTGTCTTAGGATTTATTACATCAATATCACAGAAAATACAATTACAAAATATTTAGATTTTATCAAATAATGTAGTTTTTTTATTTTCAATGAAAAAATGGAAAAATGATTGTGACCTTAATAACATATACTGATAGTTAAATGAATTTTCTCGTCATGATATTTCTATCATAAAAGGTAAATTATACATGAAAATTTTACAAGAAATGTTTACATTTCCTTTATTACATTGCCTTAACTGGTTTCATAAATAATTTATGAAACCAGTTTAATTATTGTTTAATTTTTTGAGTATTGCGTATTATGCAATAATCAAATTTTTTGTGTTAAATAAAAGGATTATTTTCATTTGTCAAATAAAAGTTATGTGGTTTTATATATTTTGGTAAATATTTGTGCATATCTGAAACTATTACATCGATTATTTAAATTATTTGATTATTCCCATTACTAGATATATTTACAATTAGACGATGGGGNTTCCCATTACTAGATATATTTACAATTAGACGATGGGGTTCAGTCTGTATTATAACTATAGCCTATCAATGAAAATACATCAGATTTTCAGTTAGCAAGGAAAGAAGTTTCTTTTTTTTTGTAATAATGCACCGGTCTCTACTTTTTGATTATTTTGCATAAAACTATATAACAACCAAACATAAGAAAATGATCCATAAATATAATGGGGAAATACAACAACCTTAAAGATCAAAAACAGAAGTTAAGGTGTCTTTGACGTATATAAGATTACTATACTATAATGTACATATAAAATGTCAGGTTTATGAATGAAAATGGATACATACAAATTTTAGTCAACCTGATTACTAACATTTCAATTGAAAATGAATAGAACTATATAATTGTACAAAATTGTATGACTGATAAAATTTGTTTGAATGCATTCATCTTTACAGAACTATAGCCTGATGATTAAAACAAAAATTACTCCATGTATAAATAAGTTGAGTAACATAATAGTTAAATTATAGATCGTATTCAACACCAAATAATAAATCAGAAGTACTTGATCATCACACACTACTTGACAATTAAAAAATTTAACCGTCGAATAAATTGACTTTTGAAGTCAATGACAAACCACTCGAAGTACACACAAGTATAGCTGGGTTTAATTTGTTCGCAAGTATAAATTAATAAAGTGAAGACTTCCTTCCGGATTCCAAGAAACAGCCAATGCGTCATTCGTTGAAACGCATCACGATGTGTTGTCATCGCGCCCATTCTAAAATACACGTAAAAAAAATAGTACTATACAGTATACTCAGACAATCATGAATGAATGAATCATACTTTAAACTTCAATGAATCATACTTTAAACTTCAATGAATCATACCGCAGTATAACAATCTCAGTACCACACACAAATAAAACATTTGATCAATAGATTATAATTTATTATCTAAAATCACGTCAATAAAAAAAAAAATACTTACCGGTTTTTTAGAAATGGTTAATAATTATACATTTAAAAATTAAATTAAAAAGTGCTCAATATGTATATGACTATATTATAAGTTCAAACCCAAAACGTATCTCGAATTTAACAATTTTTTTTTGATATCTTTTAACCTAAAATTTGGATTTAGCACCATAATTATAAAGAAACCTTTTATATACATCTAAGGTTATTTCTCCATCATAAATTGGTTTAATCAATGCATTTTTCAAAAAGTTATGGCAATGTCAAGTTTAAAAAAAGTATTCAAGTTTTTTGTCTATTTCAATAATATAGTCTAATTATCTAATTAGTAATTAATTAGAATAAATGCTATATTGAACAGTTAAATTATGATAAAAAAGAAGTAGTACAGCATCAGTTTGAAAAGTTTTCACTTCTGGGCTTAAAATCACCAAATATAAATAAACTGATAAGTAAAAAATAAAATAAAAAACACAAATAATAATATTATTAAGTTTTATTATCAGCCAATAAATAAATATTATATTACACATCATTATATAAAAGTTCTATTANTCTGGGCTTAAAATCACCAAATATAAATAAACTGATAAGTAAAAAATAAAATAAAAAACACAAATAATAATATTATTAAGTTTATTATCAGCCAATAAATAAATATTATATTACACATCATTATATAAAAGTTCTATTATGACTTAATGAGTTTAGGTGGAACAACAGATTTATATCATTAAACAATAAAAAAAAAATATATATATTGGTCTTGGAATATGCATTATCACACTTTATAATTTTTCAATTATTTTTTCATTGATTAATTAATAAATTTTGCATTACCAAACAGTATTGATAAAATTATTTACAAATTTTTACACTTAGCTTTTTTGTTAATATAATAATGTGATAATATACAAAAGTATACCAAAAGCAGTTTTTTTAATTAAAATATTGTAATACTTGAATTTTTTTTTATAACACTTGGTTAGTTCTACTTTCTGTATATACTTAATCCTAATAATAATAATAAAATTAGAAGCGAAACAAAAATATATAAAAACAATGAGCTTATGCATAAATGCCATTATGGCTTATATTTACAAAAGCACAGTTTTTAAGGAATAGTGAGAAACGATCATGATTAAAATAATTGTACAATAAAAAAGAAACACCATTAATTAGGTGAGTACTTTAAAATAAATTCATTTGAACATCTGTATTCAGACCATTTCAATTACAATTGATTTAACAAACTACATGGTTTTTCTATGTATAACTCGTGCTCCCTCTTCAAAGAACTCTCGTTTTGAGACCCACATTCTTCGGAATGTACTCAATGATGCAAGAATTGAACCTCCAATCCACGTGGTGTATAAACGTTCTTGTGGTGCTAAAATCTAAATATTAAAAAAAATGTTTATGTAGGAAAATGTCAAGTGTAACTATACAGTTTTTAAGTACATTTATTATAGCCTAAAATACTTATGTACACCTTATATTTTGGAATAATGAGAGGACATACATAAATTACAAAAAAATAATTGAAAAAATAAAATTATACACATTGATGTCAGCACAAAAATAAATATTAGTAACATTAAAATTGAATTAACATATTTATATTAAAGTATATTATTTACACAGCGTATTCCAATACGAATATGCATATCTTTGGTAATAAACTCCTTAAAATAAAATATTCTTTTACCTTTGTATATAGCATACAGTTTTAGTGTGGTATGCAAATATAAAAAACTAGTGGTCTTTTTGTTACTATTATTATTATTTACACTATTTACCATTATCTTTATCAGTAATGAAACAATAATTTACTAATTAATATTATAACATATCTTCTAATTTTTTTTTTAGGTACCAAACATGAATTATAAATAATTTTTGTTCATAAGATAGTTTTTATTTTCTACCACATTTTAAATTATGACATTGTCAGAAAAAGTTAAAAAAAAAAAATAACTCTGAAATTAGTTGGGTTATACAAAATAAACATAGAATCTATCAAGCTTTGAAGTAAGCTTAGCCTGTTACTGTTAGTAGTTGGACAGGTTACTACACGTCAATATCAACAAAGGTAAGTACCATGCCCCTAGTGAAAAGATAAATGAGAAATCACTGTACTAAATACTTTCCCAGAATACATTAATATAATAATCATTATTGATTAACTGGTGTCAACTAACCTTATAGTTGAAAAAAAATCATTCAAAGCAATATTACCTTTAATTTCATATTTTTGGGCGCTAATTTCTTGATTTCTGATAATAATCTATCTCCAAATCCCTATAAAAACAAAACAAATAAGTAAACAATAAATAATGAATTGGAAATTAATAAAAAGGAAGACGCTTATTAAAGACAAAGCGTCTTTAATAAACTGTATTTACAAATAACTATATAATAATAAATAATAATAACAATTATTATGTTAAAAATTTCAAATATAACTAGTATTTATCACAGTCTAGTTATACTATATAACATAATTATAAACTAAATTTATAACTTTATACATTTAAAACATTTGTTTGAACTACTTTTGAGATATTCAATTCAGAAAAATGTTCATAAGTGCATATATTACCACAGAAATATTTTTTTTCTAGGAGAGAATGATCACCAATACATCCCCCAAAAACTAAATTTCTAATTAATTGTATAATTAATTTACTTTTGATTATTTTATTTAACATAAAAGAAAAGAAGGAGTTCACAAAATTGATAATGTCATAGCTGAGAATCCTTTTGAAAAAATCCTAATCTTCTATCAGGCTCATCCATCTATGCATAATGCATATTACAGGTAAAGTCTTAAAGTATTTAAATTATATTATACTTACAGATAGTAAAGTTGAACCTCCTGCAAGAACAATACTTTGATATAATTTTTTCCGTACATCTAAATCAGATTTTTGTATTGAATATACCAAAGCTTCGTGCAAGCCCTCACATTCTTCACCTATTAAATCAGGATGGAACAACACTTCTGGAGCACGAAAACGAGCTGGTCCAATCTATTAGTAGGTTTTATTTTTGTGTATAAAAAAATTGTAATAATAGAAAATTATTTTTTGATTAAATAGCAATATAAAAAGACAAAATTAATTAAAAAATTGATAACTTTTACAACTAAAGAATACCAATACAATAGTTTTTAGATATATAAATACTTGTTGATTTACGACAGAATATAAAATATATCACTAAAAACACAAATATTGCTATACTATTAATATTGTTAAATTGTATAGTTTAGTGAAAAATTATTTTTAAATATTTTAAACTTTGATTAAGACTGCATTATTATCACAATTTATACACTTTGGTAGCTTAGGTCATTATTAGTCTTAATCCCTTAAATAACAAAGCAAAATTAATTTTATCACAAGATATATTTGTAACTTTGGAATTTTTAAAAAAATTTACTTCATTATGATATGTAATTCTTATTTTACTTCTTTTAACATAATTTTTAGTCATATATTTAAATATAATTTCATTAATAATAAAAATAAGCTACACTAATTTAATTATTCAAAACTAAATAACCAATGTATAAATCAAATTAGGTGATAATATAAAATACATACATTTTTCCAAAAAAACTAATGAGTTATAATGATAAAAAAATGTTAATTTAAGCAAAATACTTTACTGTCAGTGTTTAAAAAACCTAATATTTGGTAGCATTATTATTAGTAATGGGTAGCATTATCAATTACATAATACACATTGTATAAATTAACTTACATCAACTTTATTTCCATCAGGCAACATATATTGATATATACTGCTTTCTGATGTTTCTTCTTTAACTGGACTCAAAGCTACATAACAGGCTTTTTCTTTTATAGCTCTGACAACTTCAAATTCTGCAGATGTAGAAAAATTTAAACCTTCCTTTCTTAATAACAACCTGAATAAACAGAAAATCTTCAGTATTATAGTATAATAATTTTGAACAAATTTGTATTTACTTAAGGTATCGAGAAATATCACGACCAGCTAAATCTAATCTAATTATACCATGTTTCATAGCAAAACCTTCATATATAGGAACAGTATGTGTAATTCCATCTCCTGAATCTAAAACCACCCCTGTTGTACGTCCAGTAGCATATCTTAAATATACAAAATTATAATATATATAATATTGTAATAAAATAATATTCATAAGTCACATACAAACTAAGAACAGCTTGAATAGAAACATAGAATGCAGGAATATTAAAAGTTTCAAAAAATATTTCTGCTGCTCTTTCACGATTTCTTCGTGGATTTAAAGGAGCCTCAGTCAATAAAACAGGATGTTCCTCAGAAAAAGTTTGAAGCTGATCACTACCATAAATATACTGCCATATTCGTTCCATATCATTCCAATCAGTAACTATTCCATGTTCAATAGGATATTTAATGTAGAGTAAACCTCGATGCTCTTCAGCTTTTGGTCCAATAAATGTATCTCCTTCTAAGGCTCCAGCCATGACTCTAACGTGTTTTGGTCTGCCAATACTACATGAAAAAATGATAAAATTAAGTAAATTTAAATTTAAGTTTTTGTTAAGCTTACTAATTTGGGAAACAACACTTAGGAGTTTGTTCTCCAGCAAAACCAGCTTTAATTGCTCCAGATCCCTTAAAAAACAATAAAATTAATATTAGTAAATGTGGCAAAAATAAGCATTTTAATAAGCAAAATAAGACTATTACCCAACAATATTTTGAGTATTCCATCTATCATTTCAGATACATACATTTAGAATATATCTAAAGAAATGCTAGTTAACTATAGCTAAAGGTATAAGGACTAAGTTTTCTTGTATACCTCTCATTTTAAGCCATACTTACAGTGTAGAAAAAATTACTAATGGTAAAAAAATAATGATTGGAAATGAATGTAAATGTACTATTTTAGAAATTGTATTTCAAATGACCAAAATAATTTTAATTTATGCTAGTTGAATAATTCTTAAGTAATAAAATTAATGAAGGTGAAACAACAAAAAATAACTATTTTTATATTTTTAAAAACGCAATATGACATTTAAGTACAATAATGATATTAAAAAATAACAACACTATTCTTCATTAAAATAACAATTTATTCATTTATATATAAATAATTACTAAATGGCAATCAACTAAATAGAAATTATTAGAGGGAAAAGTTTATTAAAAGACATTATTATAAAATTTATTTAAAAAATTCAGATGATTTCTAAAATAAATTAATGTAACTATCCTATTTAATTAAAAATATATTAATTTTGTTTGCTAAAATATAAATTAACCTCACCAATAGTACTTTTTTATTATTATGTTGTTAATATAATGGACTATAAAGATATGATGGGGTTTTCATTTTAGCTTAATAAAAAAGCAATAATAATGAACTAAATAAAAAATAGACTTTTTATTTGCCATAATTCAAAATAAAAATTTGTCACTAGTAAGTTCTATCCCTTATATGATAAACTAAACAGTTGGTAAAATAATTTAAGAAATAGTTATAAGTAGACACAAAACTGGAATATTTTACATTTATAGTAATAAAAACTATAACTTACATTGTCTATAACAACTGGTTGATTAACAATTACGTCATAAGTCTCCATTCCAAATTATCCTGTAAATGAATACTATAATAAAATGTTAAATAACGTAAACTAAATTTAATTATATAATTAATAATATACTTTTATGAACAAAAATTTTTTATTTCTTAAATTAAATTTGATAAGAGGTGTTTGAAAATTATAACCTACAAAACACGTTGCCAACTTGACCGGCACTGAAAAAATGGTGATAATGTACCCAGTTTGATATTATTGTAAATGTTTACAGAATAGATAACCACTATATATAGTATTTCTACTTATGCATATGTCTTTGAAAAATTGTATTTTTGTTTTTTTTCAAATGATAAGGGCAATTACAAAATTTATATATATTCAAATATAATACAAATATACAGTATAAAATGTTTTTGTAAATTATATTTAAATACTTATTTTTTAATAATTTTTTTTTGTATGTAATAAATTTTTGATCAAGATGTAAGCGTAGTTAATACTAATTTAAATAAACATAAAAATTAGAGTGAGTAATTAAGTGAAATAATTATAAGAGTATTTTATGTATGTTATTTGGATAAATAACTGAATGTTTTATTAAAGCTGATTAAAATGATGTTTGGAGAACATTCAAAAACTAAATTTATTGAAGAAACAAGAGCAGCCAGAGTAGAAAGAGCAAATGATCGAAAGCGTGAAGAATCTGCTATTATTATTCAGTCTCTAATAAGAGGATGGCTTTCTCGAAGAAGAATTCATAACAATACACTGTACATAATTTTCTTATAAATAATTAGTTATTAGTTCTTTAGTCAGCTAATTATTATGAATTTTTTAGAAAACAATTTGAGGAAATATTTAATAATTCAGATGATTTAAAGCCAGCAACTCATGTATACTTAATTTCTAAAAAGTTTTTGGATCATTGGAATGAAAAACGTGATAAACAACAATTTGAAAAATTTTGCAAGTATGTTAGAAATTTTGTTCATTTTTTTAAAGTCATTAATAATTTATAAAAAACTCTTTGTAGTTGTATTAGTAAATTATAAATCATTAGTAATATAATTTTGTGGTTTGTATCAAAAAGCTGATCAGTAGAGCCTGGATTTATTTTAATTACATATTTTGTTTAAGTCATTTTTAAAGAATTCAAGTTTTGCAAATTTGTTGTAGAATATATGGTAATATCATAGGCACAACTACTGTTATGAACTTAGAGGACTTCTTAAGCACCTCAAAGTTTAAAAGGTCAAATTTTTTTTTTGATTTTTTCAATATTATGTACCCAATCTTCTTTTTATCTATTTATAAATATACAATTAAATTTAACATTATACGTATACTTTTTTTTCTTACCAATATGATATTTTAACTTTATTAGTTAAAACTAAAATATATTACTATCTTTAAAATGAAATAGACTTATTAACTAAATTCAAGTCAATTTTTTGTAAACTGAGAAAATCAAATTTTAAATTCCAAAATACCATGTTATTTTATAGTACACCATAACTTTTGAGGAGTAGTACTTTTAAACAATTTACTTTTTCCTATAGTTCAATGGTCTAAAAGGTACATTACAACGTATAAAAATTTTTTATCACTAATCTCAATTTTTAAAAAAATTAACCTAACTAGTTTTTTTTATGTACTCTTCATTTGTTTTTGTCCTCCTAACATTGACATTTCAGCTTTTGAAAAATATCTACAAAATTATAACACTAAACAGATTATATAATATATTATATATATTATTACAGATATATTATACGTAGTCTTGAGAGTGAATCTCTAAAATTCAGTTATGTGTCTGTTGCACTTACTAAAGAACATGCAGTTAGTTGGATAAAACATGTCAAGGAAATTCTTTCTGTTTGTCTTATATATCTATCTAATTTTCAAACAAAAACATTAGGTGATTCATCTTTTTTACATACATTACTTCATATGATTGTTTCATTCACATCTACTTCTATGTGGATTGCCCTAACTTCAAACAAAACATTACAAGGATTAAAACATGGTTTAGAACGATTAACTGAAAATTTAGTAGCTCATTTGTTAGCAAAAAATGTTTTTAATACAATGCAGGTAATATTATAGTTACTGAAATTTAATTTGTGTTACATAAATTGTTGATCTGTCTTACATTTATGTTAGTGGCTAAACACTAATCATATTAATTAATTATATTTAGACATTACTAATAAATGGATTCCTAGGATCAAAGATTTTATTGAAGCCTGTTTCAATGACTGCAATCATGACAATATGTTGGCGGTGTTTAGTTTTAAGTAACTTTTCTCAGTGTATTTTTCAATTATTTGTTGTGGAAATATATTCTTTGCCATTACTTCTTGAAAATTTGGTTACGTATTCTCCAAAAGTAAGTGAAAACATTAATTATTTATTTTTCTTATTTGCATATTTGTGTATAGAAATATTAACTTTTAGTTAGTTTTACAATTTTTTTGTTTGGAGTCTGAAACCTATAAAAAATTATACTTCAAACAGTATTTAGGCCGTATAGATATTTTTATATTTATGGCTTATTATATGGTTAATTATAATTATTGATTTAATATGTATATAATTATATACATATTAAATCAATAATTGAAATTGTGGAAATTTTGAGGTACAATAAATAATAGTGTATACATATTTTAATAAAATGTTGAAGTAGTATACATGTAGAAAGAATTTTGATACATAAATTATCTAATGAAAATTAATTTTTATTTATTATCCATTAAAATTTATGTATTATTGCTCTAAATTTACTTTATTAACATAATATTTAATGTTTACTATTTTTTTTTAGTTAATAACAACATTTCAATCAGGTAATTTACTTGAAAAAATATTGAACATTTTGATGGATCAATCTCAATGTAATGAAATTTTTCAATCATTGCAACCTAGTTGGAGTTTATCATTGATTGCAAATGTCATTCATTTAGCTGAGCTTAGTACTGAAATTGAAGAATTCGAAAATATTTGTTTTCCAACCTTTGTGGTATGAAAATAATTATAGTAATATATTACTCAAGTAATAGTTTGTATGTTAATAGTTAGTAACATAAATTTTATAAAAATGTGTAAAATTCACGTATAATATTGTAAGACAAAAAATCAGATATAAGTGTTTTGTAACAAAAAAAAATATCTAAAGTGTAAATTAAATAAAAAATCTCTCTGTATAGTAAAATTTTCCTTTATTATGCAATTAAAACTCTTTTAATGTAATTTTTGGAAAATTAAAAACCTTTATATCTTATTTTTTCACTTATAACAATATTAACTCAAGAGTTAAATTTTAATCAAATATATTATTTATTATTTGTTGCTATCAGGTTGGTTTGACTTCATTTCTAGAGACTATTAGAGTGTATATTACTAAAAAACAATCTAATGTTTCAAGTGTATGGCACCCTGAACTAGGATGGTTTACAGCTAATCCAAAGTGTCAATGTTCTCCAAACATCCCACCATTAAAAAATCAATTAATACTCTTATGGTGTGGAAAATTATGCACAAAACTTTTACGATCTCATTTAGTTAAGGCATTAGAAACTATACCTGATCATCAACAAGTACCATCACCCCCCCCTAAATCTAACAATCCAATTATTTTTATAAAGTAATGTATAAACTGTAAATTTATTTTTATTGAAACAAATAGTGGGTATTTAAATTTATGAAAATTAATTCATTTTTTTAGAAAAGCTTTGGACATTAGACCATCTAATATAAACTATACGAGTTCAAAACTGACCGATATACACGGAACAAAAGTTGTCGCTGGGTGTAATTTATATTTTATGTGTCTTAAAACAATAACTCAACTTAGGCTTGATATAATTACTGGTACTAAGAAATATAGTTATTTTTTACTCTTGTAGAATAAGTAGTATTATGTATAAAACTTTGAATTTCATATTTTAGGTCTATGTTACCATGAAGATACTTTATTTTTATTGTGGAGATTTCTAGCATTTTTAGATTCACATTGTGGTATTAAAAATTTATTAAATATATTAGAAAATGATAAATACTGTACTTCTAGTGAATTACGCATGGTACAACTATTTTGTGATTGTATGTCTCACTATATAACGTAAGTTTTAATAGTTTATTTACAAACTTGTATGCTATATTTTGAATTGTTATGCTACTATATAGATAAAATTATTATAGTTGCATAAACATTTAAGTAAAATCTAAGTCTTTTTAAAATACTATTTTCAATTAATTATTATTTTAATTATTTTTTTTTTAGTATTCTTGACGATATTGAAATGTATGAACAACAAAAACCATTTGTATTACGTGATTACATTTTAATGTCAAGTTTTTTAAATATTTTTCTTTACAAAGGAATATCTCAAAATTTATTTGGTATGAATTAAAAATTTAAAAATACTCTTCAATAAGTAGCGACTGTATAAAATTTTATATTATATAGATATTCAAGATATGGGTCCTAACAGTCTATTTCGTTCATGCCATACACTTCTTATGGTACTTTATCGTAGAGACTGTAGGAGAAAATTTGCACCAAATGATCATTGGTTAATTGGTGATCTTAAATCATCTTCATTTTTAAATGAACTTAACAAAGGCCGCAAAACACATTTGGTAAACATAAATAATTGAAGAATGAATGTGTCAAACGTTCTATGTGCCAAAAAAGTGAAAAATTGTTTTATTTCTGATTTACGAGGTGTGATCAAAAAATACCCGGACTGTGTTAATAATATTTATATCAATTNTACGATGTGTGATCAAAAAATACCCGGACTGTGTTAATAATATTTATATCAATTAAGATAACGAAATCCCGATAATTTAATTTGATAAAGTAACTTCTAACGAGAATTTGAGCATTGGTTTGAAATCGATAACAATATTTATTTTTATTTTATGGCATTTTTACGAAAACATGTTTCAGTCATGCGTCGATTTTTGAAATGGAAACAATAGAAGAACAACGTGTGTGTGTAAAATTTTGTTTTAAATTAGGGAAAAGTTCTAGTGAAACTTTTAAACTTTTGAAGCAAGCTTTTGGAGATGATGTTCTGTCTCGGACAACATGTTTTGAGTGGTTTAAACGGTTTAAGGAAGGTAGGTCATCCATTGAGGATAACGAACAATCTAGTAGACCATCGACCAGTAAAACAAATGAAATNACGATCTGGTAGACCATCGACCAGTAAAACAAATGAAATTGTTGCTCGTGTTCGTGAAATTATTCGAAATAATCGTCGATTAACTATCAGAGAAGTTGCAGAAGACGTCGGAATATCTTATGGTTCTTGCCAAAAAATATTAACCAAAGAATTGGGCATGAGCCGAATCGCAGCCAAATTTGTTCCTCGTCTCTTAACCAATGAACAAAAACAAAACCAAACACACTAAACAACTAAAACACAACTAAACCACTCAAAACATGTTGTCCGAGACAGAACATCATCTCCAAAAGCTTGCTTCAAAAGTTTAAAAGTTTCACTAGAACTTTTCCCTAATTTAAAACAAAATTTTACACACACACGTTGTTCTTCTATTGTTTCCATTTCAAAAATCGACGCATGACTGAAACATGTTTTCGTAAAAATGCCATAAAATAAAAATAAATATTGTTATCGATTTCAAACCAATGCTCAAATTCTCGTTAGAAGTTACTTTATCAAATTAAATTATCGGGATTTCGTTATCTTAATTGATATAAATATTATTAACACAGTCCGGGTATTTTTTGATCACACATCGTATGTTCTATGTGCCAAAGGCCACAATCTTGTATGTGTTTCAAATGTCAATTAAATTTTTTACTTGTACAAAATTGCATTCATAGATGGTGTTCGATATGTGAGACATGCCCATATTACCATTGTTTTTTGTGTTTTCTGAACAAATATGTTTTTGGCACATAGAACGTTTGACACATTCACTCTTCAATTATTTTATTAATAATTTTTTTTATGATAGAGTATCTATGAATATTTCAATTATTTGAATTATAGGAATTATGTGCATTTATAGATTTTGATTTAGCCACTTTGAAGAATTCCAAGTTTGTGCAACTTTGTCATAGGATTATATAGTATCATAGAAATATTCTCTGTTTTAGGGGTAGATAAATCCTCCTAGTACCCCATAATTAAACTCAGTAACAACTCAATAATAAGTTTACAGCTCAATAAAAAATTTTACTGGCTTAAGGTGTGTTCATAATAATTTAAAAAAAATTATAAATGCATATAATTCTTAGCCCTTACCATTAATAATAATGAAATTATTTATTGCTACTTTAACACCTTTTCCTCATTTTGAGAATAAGTTCCTATTAAGTGTTTTTTAATGACCAAACAAAACAAAAATTTAGTAGTGTCTGATGATGTGACAATTCCTACTTAAATTTGTTCTCACTTAATTAAGGACCCATTGTCATGCATTTGAAATTTCCTGAATATAATTGTCTTTTTCTCTTAAATATATAATAGTCATAACACAAACAATAATTTATAGTTTATTATATAACTTATCAATGTCGGAAATTTCATGCCAAATTTAGTATATTATTTACAATAAAATAATTTTGTTCCATATTTATGAGACAATCCATAAAACTCATACTAGAATAATAGTTATTGCTTTTATTGAGATGCGTTTCTCTTATATTTTTAGTTCAATGAAACACTAAGTGTAGCAAACATTTTAATTTTAGATTTTAATTCAAGAAATGCCCCATATAATATCACATGAAGTACGTGTAAGACTATTTAGAAAATATGTAGCTAATGATAAATCTGCATTAGGTGTTAGTCAATATGATGCACTTCATCCTACTATTATAACTATTCGAAGGTATTTCAATAATATGCAAAAATAATGATCAAACTTTGTTATTTATTCAATTAAATATTTCTTTAACAAAATCTCCAGGAACCGTATAATTGAAGATGGCTATGTATATGTATCAGAAATGTCTCCAAAGAGTTTCAAAGGTACAATAAGAGTTAAATTTATAAATGAACAAGGACTAGATGAAGCAGGAATTGATCAGGATGGAGTTTTTAAAGGTATATTTTTTTATAAAAGTATAATTTAGTTATGAAATATCAAAATATGTGTATGTTTTATGTTTTTAATTCAAGAATTTCTGGAAGAAACTATAAAAAAAGTATTTGATCCATCTTTAAACTTGTTCAGAACAACGGAAGAACAAAGATTATATCCTTCACCTTCATCAAATGTTCAAGAAAATCATTTAAATTTATTTGAATTTGTTGGTCGAATTTTAGGAAAAGCTGTTTATGAAGTAAACATTTAATCTGTTAATGTTTTCTTTTAATATTCTTCACTAAATTAAAATTCATTTTAATCTGTTTTTTAGGGAATTGTAGTAGATGTTCCTTTTGCATCATTTTTCTTGAGTCAATTACTTGGGCAAACTCAAGAATTATTGTACAGTTCAATGGATGAATTACCTTCTTTAGATAATGATTTGTATAGAAACCTAACATCTGTAAAACATTATGAGGGTGATGTTTCAGAACTAGATTTAACTTTTTCAGTAGTTGACAATCATCTAGGAAACTTAATAACTCATGATTTAGTACCTGGTGGAAGAATGATCTCAGTTACAAATCAAAACAAGTAATTTATTGTTTTCATTGATGTATGCTAAGACATACATTAAGGTAGACTATTTCGTATCTCGGTTATTATATTTTCTATGCCACAGGAACTATAAAGTTCTCAATAAAACACAAAAAACACATAGCTTTCACTTCATTAAAAAGCATTTAACTATCTGTATTCTCTAAGTTTTAAGATGTAACATGCAACACATGTTATAAGTTTTTCAAGTTAAACCAAAATGTTATCTAATTTTAAAATGTAGTATACAAGAAGCATGGAGTATATATGTTAATATAATAGCAAATAATAGTAAAATCTAGTACTCTAATTCTGTAAGAATATAAAATAAAGCTTAATCAACTTAAACAGGCTTTTTTTAATTTAATATAAGCAATACTGTATTTATAAAATTGATTTGAATAATTTTTCGATTTAAGCTTAATGCAAAATATTATTTTTTTGATAGAATCAACTATGTGCATTTGATGGCTCATTATGTAATGCACACCCAAATCAAAACTCAAACTGCTGCTTTTATTAAAGGATTTAGATCAGTAATAAATCCTGATTGGTTAGCACTATTTTCAACACCAGAAGTAATTTCAAATAACTTCATAGATTCATTTATATGTATAATGTTTAATAATAATGCAATATTTTTAATTAGCTTCAAAAATTAATGTCTGGGGACAATGCCCCAATTAATTTGCATGATCTCAGAAAACATACACAATATTATGGTGGTTTTCATGATTCCCATCGAGTAATACTATGGTTATGGGATGTTTTGCAAAAAGATTTTACAGAGAATGAAAGAGCACTTTTTCTTAAAGTATGACAGTAAAAAATTGCTTGAAAATACTTATTTATTTATTGACACACATGTATAATTATTTTTAGTTTGTTACTAGCTGCTCAAAACCACCTTTACTTGGGTTCGCTCATTTAGAACCTCCATTTTCAATAAGATGTGTTGAAGTAGGCGATGATGAAGATACTGGAGATACTATTGGTAAGTTAGAATTACATTAATAAATAAAGATTTATAAAATTATTTACTTTTTAGCAAGTGTAATACGCGGATTTTTTACTATTCGTAAAAAGGATCCACAGCTTCGATTACCTTCTTCTTCTACATGTTTTAATTTACTCAAACTACCTAACTACCAAAAAAAAAGTATCTTAAGAGATAAACTAAGGTATGCAATATCATCCAATACTGGCTTTGAACTTTCATAAAAATATTAATAAAAAATATCTAATAATTATGTATAACTTAGTACATATTTTTATCATTTTTATACCCAATAAATAAGAGTAATGAAAATTTATTGTGTACATTTTACTTAAGGGATGTGAATTAATTGTTGTAGTGTTTAGAATTTTAATTATATAATATTTAGTTTATTATCTATCAATTTATAAAATTAAAAAGTTCTATTCATATAGGTATAAATAATTTTAGTACAATATCTTATACTATACTACAATTTTTGAAAGTATACAATTTATAAACATTCTCTTTCAGTTTTCGAATTTGCTAAACAATTTCTCACACAAAATTTACCAAGATATTTATCAATACTTACTTAAAATTACCTTCATTAAATATGAGTATAAATTAGAAAAATATATCAAACTATATGTGCAGTGTGATGGTCATTACCATTAGTTTCTATTAATTAAGTTTATTTCAATCATAAATTATCTCCAAACCTACTTAAAATATTCTATTATTGTGTTATGTTTTGTTTTTATGTAATTTAATAAAATTAGGTAAATAATTATAATTGTTTTTAAAACTAAAAACTTTATAAATATTTAGAAAATTATTTACTTAATAACTAAATATTTAATAATATATTGGTTGTTTTTAAATTTAAAATTTAAACTGAATGTTATGTGATTAATCATTATTTATTTTTTTTATTGTTAAATTTGTTATCTATTTATTTAATAAAAGAAATGTTTTGAAGTGTTTATGTTATTCTTTATGTAAAACCAATCATTATAAAGATATATGAATTAATTAATTTAGAATTTAAGTAGATAAAATAAAATAAAGTAAAGAAATGAAAAATTGTTAACTAATTTTAATTGGCATATTATCTTAAAAGCCAGAGACCTATTTTAGAGTGTTATTTGACACATAATGTGCAGTATAAAATATTGTGTGGTAAAGTGTACAGTTGTTAACCCATTTTTAACTATTTTATCAATAAAAAATGTTCTGTTAAATTAATTTTTTGATTTTTCAGACTATTTGCTAAAAAAAATTTTCTCAACCATGAAAGGCACTATACGTTTTTTTAGTGTGTCAATAACTGCTTGATCTGAATAACATAACTGTAATTTTAACAAAATGTTTGAAAAGTCTAACTTAATTTCTCTCTTCTTTTAATATATTTATATTTAAGACACATTACATTTTTGGGAGGACTTGTAGCTTTTTAGACCCCTAGATTCCGCGTACCTGAATAAAATTAATATTTGTGGAAACTCATGGTATTAATAACTTAATTTTTTGATGATTTAAAAAAAAAAGATAAACAAACAAATTTTGATAGTTTTATTTGAATAACATTTTTAATTTATTACTAATTAGAGAAATTCTACTAAGTTAATAGAATTAATATACTGATCAACCCTAGATGTTTTCTTTAGGTTGCTGTTAATTTTACACTTAAACCTAATAGAATTTTATTAAATTATAGTGACTTATTTGTCACTATACTATCATGCAAAATGTTTAAGTTAAATTAAATTTCGATGATTATCCATAGCAATAAATTGATCTACGCAAAAAATACATATTTATAATTTGAACGATCTATAAGGAAATTAACTTCTACAGTTTAAAAATAATTTTTTTTTTATAACTTCATAATAATATTACAAGAATCTAATGACTATTATATGGATGCACTGTATTCACTTATCTCGTTCGACATCCATTGACCTACACTGCTGGCGCTGTTGTTCTCCTCCGCCCATTTATTTTATAGTGGTGTGCTTGTTATGCTGATATCCATTCACATTTCACGTTTAGTCATCCAGTGTCGGTCGAGGAGTAGTCTGTGTGTTTTGCGAAGTTGTACATAGATTTCTTATCACAAAGAAGGCTAATATAACTGCCAATTTTTTTTCATTTAATATAATTTTTAAGTTGTTAAACTGTGGATATCTTAAATCTATATTAATGATAAAAATCCATCGGTTGGATTTTTTAAATTTACTGTGATTAATTATTTGTAATGGCTGTGGTCGGCCCAAGCCGACACTCAAGGGTGTCAATGTCGCTAATGCAGGGCTCGACAAACGGTCCGGTAGGCAATCATCAACAAGCTAGTGCTTCTCAGCAGTTTTTCCATGCTCAACAACAAACACATCATGCTGCTCAATCAGCTTCCACACATTCAGTTGATTACAAACCCGATCGACCTATTGGATATGGAGCATTTGGAGTTGTCTGGTTAGTTGTTCTTTAATGCATTCTTTGTTTAACAATCCAACTATATTAATTATAATATATTACATTAATCAATTATTTTAGTTTGATATATATTATAAATTGTGATATTAATATGTGATTTATGTCAGATGAATTAATCTTAACAATCTTAATAATATTTAGCAATTTGGAATGGCCAACACAGGTGTTGGCCATTCTAAGAAATTCCCTCTTATTTTTTTCAGGATTTTACAGTAAACATTTTATTGTTACTGTAGCGTCACTATTAGTTTATATTTATGATCTCAAAAATACTTTTATATTTATTTGATTCATGAGAAAACAATAAAATCAAAATTTGTAATTCAATTAAAACAGTTATTATTAACTAATAAAAGTAGTCTATATAATTTAGTAGAAAAAGCTTATATAAAGCAATTTGATAATGCTGCATTGAGCTGTAAACTATAGCCATAAGTCTGAGTTTTAAATGTACGAATGAATTTTTTGATATAGTCCTTTTTACTTTAAATCTTTTTATATTAACATGTTTTGTGTTATAAATATATTTTTTATTTTTAATTTAATAAGTTAGAAAATTAATCATATTGAAAAGATTATTATTGACTCTATTTTCCGATATTGATCAATATTTATGAAAATTAATATATTTTTTTATAATCATTCTGATAAATAAAGATCAAAATTATATGTATATAAAAGTTTTGTTAAGTTATTCATAACTAAAAAAATCATAATTCTACATCTTAATGTAAAATTCTAACGGTTCTTATAGTATATTTCACACTAATGATTCGCAAAATATTAAGTTTCGCAAAAATTTTATCATAATTTGATAATAATATTAAACAGTATTCATTTTTGTTTAACTATTATTGTGAGTTTACAAATTCTTAAGTTTATCCCATTAATTTCAGTTTTTGCTCCAATTTCTTCTATTTTAAACTTTTTTAAAATTAAAGTATTCAAAACTGATATAATTTCCATGTCATACGATAATTAATTTTATCAAATATCAATGCAAATTTTCATTTTAATACTAAACAAATTTAACCTGAATTAAAATTTATTAAATACCATGTGTAGTTTTTACTTTCTAAAACAAAATAATTAGCTGTTAATGATCAATCAATAATAATTCATGATTATTGAAGTTAACTATTATATTAGTTCATTAATTTTATTAGTAAAAAATAATTTTTTCAAAAAAAGTAACTTTTAAAAATATTTTTTGTACTTCCATTACATCATATCCATCAAATGTTAAATTAAAGATTTGATTTCGAGTAGTTTTAAACATTCGTTAATTTATACTTCAGAAATTTGTTCCAAATACCTTGCTTGTTGGAAATAAAAGCATTGTCGATATTAAACATTTATCAAAGATATTTGTTTACATAGAGTACTTCTCAAACAATCCTTGTTATCAATCAAACATATGTGTTAGCATATTATTGATAAAAAAAATGGTATTATTTTTGTTTGATTTAATAATAGGATAAGTTTTAAATGATTATATTTTTAACTTATCATATTCTATTTAATAAATGTCATCATAATCTAGTACACTCAACAGAATATTTTATGACCTATAGTTAGTAATTTCGTAGGATCAGAGAAGAAATTATCATTTCTGACCCGAAAATTATTAGAACAGTATATTTTAACATTCTATTTCGATTTTTATTATGACCTACAAATTTGGATATAAGAACTGATTGCTTTGTCGTTTAAACTTTAAATATTTGTATTAAACACACACACACTAAACTCGTACGTTCATGAAACAAATTATAGTTTAAGTCACGTATGATTTAGAAAATGGACGTATGTGTCTGAAGGTTACAAAAAACTCAACGTAAGCACTAAAAAACTTAAAATAGAAGTTGGTTTTATACAAAATTATTTTTTAAGCTTTATTTGTCGGAAAAAATAGTGTTAAGTCATCAATGGTAGTGATCAGTTTTGTTGTTCTTTATTGGCTTAAAATCTGATTTAAACATTAGTCATCATTTAGATTAGTCTTTCTAACATATATTCTTCATTTAAACAACTTTTTTTATATTGTTAAATAAATTTACTATAACAAATTGTATTTACTAACTGAATAATATATCGAAAAAATCAAACAGTTTTATTTTATTACCTAATAATTAAAAAAAAAACAACTTTAAACGGCTATAAAACTACGTAGTACAATAATTAATTTTAATTTGTGGGTATCGAATAATTTATCTAGCTAAAAAATAATGTCCCTAATATTAAAAATTAACTTAGTGAAAAGAAATGGAGCATAATTTAAAATTCTTAAAATGTTTTATTCTGCTTTAGTAGAAGCCTTACAGAAAAGGCAAATATTAATAGTAAAATGAAGTAGGTTTTCCACCGTGTATAAGTTTGGGCGTGACTAATTTGACCTACTATTTCAATTGACTATGTTCAATATTTGTGACGAATTTTCTTGATATAATATGTGATGAATCAAGAATTTGAACAGTTTAACCGAACTTATTAGATTTCTACTTTATTTGGAATTTTTCTTTGTTATTATTATTATCTATACAATATAATACTACAGAATACAAAACTCGAAAAAATGTGCACAGAAAACGATGTTAGGATAAATGGTTGAACCCAAGGCAAACGAGGAAACCAGATGCGAGTGTATATTGTGTGACTAAAGAGGGATCAAACCTGTTTTTCGTGGGTGTTAAGGTGTATGGACTGAACATATCGGGATATTACAAGGGCTGTCTATTCTCTGGTAGCAGGTGTCATTGCCTATAGCCTTGCTGATCCCAAACATCTGTACACAAGAAAAGATATACACCGACCAGCCATCGGAGAAGTCTAGACCCTTTTCAGGTACTTGTCTTAACTCTCAGCTGCTGTTTTGAGATTCCATAGCATATCATCTTCATTCTACAGAATCCATTAGTAAGGAGAGAGATTTTGTGTAAAAAAAAATAAACGAAAACTTAACAAATATGAAAATTGACTATTTTTGAAGTGTTTATCACATTGAATAAAATTAATTTTTTGCTTTACAACCAGGTGTTATTACTAGATTATTATTACGTAATTGCAAGCACATTTTTGTACTATAGCTGATATAATTTTATCATTTTTTTATAAGGTTAATATTAAGTTTTGGATTTTAATATTCTTTGTTCCGAGAAAAAGGACTAGGCTCTATAATGTATTGAAGGTACATAATTAAAAATTATTTTTATCAATCTAATTACAAGTGCTCCTATTTATTGCACAGTTGTCTTTTTTTAACCCTTGAATATTTACGAACCTAGAACTCACCGCAAAAAGACCTCAGTCATATCTTCTAAGGATGCCCTAGTTTTAATATTAGAATCTAATGAACCAAAACACGTTGAAAAAGATTTTCTTTTTAGGATTCAATACATGTTTTCTTATCATTACAAATGTTTTAAACACCATGTACCTACGTTAGTATTAACATTTAAAACGTGTATCGAAACATGACATTTAAAATATCTTGGTACGTCATATATATATGTTAAATGTTTTGTTAATTTATATCTATTCATTTATTAGAAATATACACGTATAACATATTCTTAGTATGCAATTATCATATATTTAGCGCAATAGGTTTTTATGTTTTGCAAGCTTTCTAAAATTTTAAATTAATGAAAGTAATGAAACTCAATGAAAATACAAAAGCATAGATTTGTGTACAAATAACACTGATGCCACTTTAAAACTAATTAATATTTTAAAAATATGTACTCAACACATGTAAATTATAACAGTTCAATATTATTACACAACAATTTTGAACAGAATGTGTATTGTTTTTATAATGTCTGACAGAACAATCAACTGGTTATGTTAAAACAAATGTCTAAGTTTGAATGTACACTCAGGAACTATAAAATTAAATTATTGGATGAAAAAAATTAAATTCGATGTTCATACATGTTGGCTTGTTTTAATGAACTCCATGAATCAATATTTATCAAATCTAGCTATCTATCCTATGTGTTTTTATTCAAAGTTTAGTACATTGTTATCAAAGCTAAAGCTGTCATGCATACAAACAACGAGTGTGCTGCTGTTAAGTTGATCGTACCATATTTAATTTAGAGATCCGGCCCTACACATACCAGCGTGTACTTAAAGTGGGGTGGATGAGTATTATAGTCAGTTTTAAATGAATCGATATTTACGTTAAGCCACTAGGACTATATGCATACAAACATCATATAGACTGTAAAGAAGCCAAATGATCCAACCATTTTGGTGGTGTATTGCTACTCATAGTATGACGAGGAAGAAAGGGGTCATTGTTCGTTGGATTTTATAATGACTATGATGTAAAACCTGAAAGAACAGAATAATAAACAAAATTGAACGAGAAAAACGTATGGGACACAAGAGAATCATCTCATTCAGAATGCGCATGCGCTCATAACATTGTAGAACCCAGTGTTCAAACCTCCTACCAAGGAAAGTGTTATTTTACCACAGATATTAACGGTTGTATTATATATATTTTTTGTGTTCACATATAAATTAAAATGTTCTAGAGTTCATTTTGAGATATAAAAAGTTCGAAAAATTTACACCTTTATGATGACACATCCTTTACTAATTATACCCACTCAAGAAATTTAAATAATTCAATTTAACGTTATATCCAGAATACCATTAGCCGTCTACAATTTTAACTGGTGTTGATGGTAGTTTAAGCTGCCGGCAGGGACCACCTGTCGAACTAGTGCCAGTATACTTGTATGAATACAAGTACAAAAATATGTTACGCAAAACATTAACCTTGTTGTACCCAGTTTGTACGTCATACACCAAATAACTGCAAAAATTAATTAAAAAAAAAATTTTTAATTATTAATGAGTCTTCATCTAGATGTGTAATTATTCGTTCCAGTGCATTAAAAATCGAACATTATAGAACTTATTAATTGCACGGTTTACGTGTAAATGTATACTGGGAAAATGAAATTCTTTTTAAATTTTTATTATACGAATTGTACCTGAAAGCCATGACGAATATTATAATCTGATGGTAAATGGAACGTTGAAGTTATTGTGTATGTAATTGACCTTTGAACTTCAAATTATTAGTACATTGTATTGACATGAGCTTAGAAGTGTTAAACATATATCTATGATAGGAACTTTCAAATTAAATGAATAGTATAGTTTATAATAAATAACTTTAAATATGAACTTTCAATGTACAATTAAGATTTTTTTTATTAATGGTATTATAATTTAAGAAAATCGAATCTTAAACGTGCATATATTCATAAAGCACAGTTATTAATTCGTACGACCAAAAAAATTGGCCAACTTGTTGTCTAATTAAATTGTTTACATTTAATGTGTGTATTCATGTCAAAAAATTTATGAAATCTTTGATGTACATGAAGATACTGAACGATATTCGGGCGGAAAACAAACCGCTTTGACGTTGTTACCACTGCGGCAGTCAGAACATAACGTTGTATTGTGTCTTTGTTCTACTTGGTGTTATAATATGAACGAAAGCATAACAATGAAACTCGTATCTTTATACGCTTTCTTTTTCCCTTCGATCAAATTGGCGGTTTTTAATGAACAGTTAAATATCAATCTTAATACTCACTAAAATCTTCAATAATAGAAAAAAGCTGTTCCTCTTAGTTTAGCTATCCTGTTTTTTTTTTTTTTTTATTGAATTTTTTATTGTGATTTAAAATATGTACTTTTAAACAATGAATGAATAGTTCTAATAAGCTGAATTATACAAATATACACACAATCGTTTAAAGAGTTGTATCTTTGAAATACACCTGTCGAATGTTAAATACTTCAAAATTATTTTCAGTTTTGGGTAGACCTAAAGGAACACCCTGCTGCGGCGTTTTACCTGTGACAACATGAAAATGTATCAAAATTGTGTAGTGTTCAAGTTTATTTTTCAAAACCGGTTTTATTTCCAAGATTTATTTAAGTTGAAATACCTACAATAAAACAAATTTTATTGTGTACGATCCACCTAATTGTTTGTAAAATGAAAATGTAGGTATCCTCTTTTGATAGTAGTTCCTCAAATAGGACCAAGGACGGCATTATTCTTACGGTGACGATTTTACTTAAAAAAATCTTATAATAAAAAGAAAAGACATTGAGTGGAAAGCCCCTGACCTTAGGTACCAATATCTATAAGCCGCGACCGTCAAACAATTTTTTTTGTATGCACTGTACGAGCTTTGCACACTGCGAGACTGGCGCGACTGTTTCCGTAGAATCTTGTGTCTCTGCCAAACCTATTATTCATAGTCATGATGTATTGTTGGCTAATGTAAAAAATTGATAAGCCTTCTCTTAATCTAAATTAATCCTTTGGATCTCATTTATATTTCGTGCTACATTTTATGGATAAGGGTGTAACTTGTATTTTTTACAAATAAAAATATTTTATTTTTGTCGTTTTATGTTTATAGGGCTGTGACGGATCCACGAGATGGACGACGAGTAGCATTAAAAAAACTACCCAACGTTTTTCAGTCGCTAGTTTCCTCGAAAAGAGTGTTTAGAGAACTGAAAATGTTGTGCAACTTTAAACATGAAAATGTAAGTCATTGATATTTGAGCTAATACTACTTTATCAGCAAATGTATATCTAGTTTATAATGTATACACTGTGTTAAAAAAAAAACACAGGAAAACATTAATAGAAGTTGTTTTTCCCCTCATTTAGGTTTTATCCGCCCTTGACATTCTGCAACCGCCTCATTTGGATTTCTTTCAAGAAATGTATCCTTTTTATACACACAATGCAAATTATAAATCACATGATGATCTGGCCATTTACGGACCAACCGGGAAAAACAATAATTTTTCTTATATGATCTCATTTATTGAATGTCAACGAAAGTTCGCGATGGTTGAAATGATAATTTCGATGGCGTTATTGTTGAAATTCGCTGAGATAGTAGTGACGGTGGTGGCATATGCATAGAAAAAGTGAAGAGCACCGTGCATTCCTATCAAGTTAATACGTATTAGTCACCGGGTTTATAACAATGTTACCTCGCCATTATAAACCAGTATTTCCTGTCTCTTCTTTGTTTCTCGGATGTCTTTAGTGCATATTATGTAGCGGGTTTATTCGCCCTAGACTGGTCGGCTGTCGTAATGGCGGCCTCGCACAAACACGATATACATACAATTATTGTTATTGGGTTTGGTTCGCAACCATGCGGGTTGAATTTACTCCGATTCATAACTGAGGAATTTCTTGTTTTCAGTTTTTATTAACGTATTTTGGAGGTTTTTAGAACATTTCCTAAAATGTGTACGGCCATGTACAAAAAACGTGTTGAACTCATTAAAACAACGCGCAAATGCTTTCAGTAGATTATGTTGTTGTTCAGAATATTTTAATTTTCGAAGGTGTGACGTTGTTATGGTAGAAAAATTATCTCCGAGTGTGACATAAAAATTAACAAATAAAGTACGCTAACCAGGTTTTTACAATCAACGGCATTAACTTTGTTCAAACATTTTCGTCGAGTTAAGCTAATAATAACGTTAGTGACAACCTACACATTTTTTTTTTACTATCTACCCATTGAACATGGTCAAACAAAGACTATTCAGAGCTCAGTAATACTAATAGACGGAACTGTAGTGTAGCTCGCCAAAAAATTCGCGTTCTTCCTTAGAAACTGGTCTTAATAATGATTTTTTCGAAAGATGTATATTATGTATATATTAAACAAGTGAGAACACAATGCTGTTACTTAATATTTTAAGAGAGCTTTCAATCGTTAAATTTAATCGTTTACGACCAATACGAGAGGAAATATTTAGTAAAAAATTCTATGTTGCACAAAGCTGTTCGAAAAGACTCTTTGAAATGTCCTTGTCATGCTGCGCCGTTGTTGAGTAGTTCACTGAAAACGTTAGCGGGTCCGGGGCTGCTTAAATGTTACGTTTAAAAAGGGCAGTCGTCATATCGTGTTTTTGGTATGGCGAGGGTGTAGGTCGTTCAACTTTTTTCATTGGCTGTTCGTTTCACGCATATTGTGTGTGTACGTTGGCGCATTTTTTTTTTTTTTTTTTGTTATTACGACGGTTTGCTGTTTTTGAAGTAAAAACCAGTTGAACCAACCACGGGGTATTGTTACATGTATGCGGGTTTTATTAAAGAGCAAGTAGTTACAGCCCTCATTTCATAGAATGGGTGAATTTTCCTGCTATCATCTGCCTCAATCAATAATATTCAGGTTCTCTACAACACTGATCCAACAAACAATGAACTCCTTTCAACAATTTTGTTTCACAGTAAAAAGCTTATTCAATTCAATTTTTCCCCTGGGAGTGTGGTTTTTAAATACTCGCGCTCCATCATTAACAACAATAACAATTATTGTTGTTAATAATTATTACTTGAAATTTGAGGTTAAGTTTAATCCTAATTTAGCGTCAAAATTACTCTTTACTGTATCAAATGCGTTATTATCAATTCAATACGTTATTAATAGAAATGTACTAACATTCAATCTTATAACCATAATATGACAACGCATTGACCAATATTATTTTCTAGTAGTGTCATTTGTATGTTCATTTCTATCTAATGACGTCTTGGAATTTTTCTTGTTAATGTAATGTGTTTTATGTAAATTTAATTTAAAATTCAACAAAAATTTTAATAACACTTTGTTTTCTAAAATTCAACGTCTATTCTTTATATTTCATTGTTTACTGTATCAATAATAATAATGTTCTTTTATATACATTTATCAGTTTCGATATAAATAACTATTTTTTAGAACAGTAAATTTAGTCGAATAAATTACATTATATATCCATAGCCAATAAACATAATCAAATTTTAAGTCGCGAATATTGTCTGCGCAATACTCTGAACTTTGAATTAACAAAAAAATTAAATCGGAATTATTCAATTGTTTTGTATGTAATATTTTTCTACTACTAATTCACATTTGTGTTATCTATAATTATTTCCATACTCATATTCTGTTTTTTTTTTTGTGTGTGTGTTTTATTGTGTTTTTCTAAGACGTCTACCTTGTTCAAATTGTTAAATAGTGTTCTACAGATTGCCTAACATAATTGAATTGACAATTTCAATTATACTTTACTTTATTTAATCAAATATATTAATTTTGATTAGTACGTGTCTGTTGTTTCATTAGATATCATTAATTTTGGTTTATAATGGTCAGAATGCATAAAATGCTTACACCGAGTAACAGTTAATACGATTCATTGTTATTTTCGCCAAACGATTTTTTTGTTCCATGTTACAAGTAACTATTTGCCGTTAATACGGAATAACATTATTAAATTTTACTGTTACTCGAAACTATGCAGTAATATCTGTTAGAATCACAATCATTGTTAATAATTACATTCTCTCAAATAAATTATTTTCAATCATGAATTTTTTTTCTACGAAAATTTAACGTTGTTTCAACAATTTATCATTCTGTTTTAACCGATTCTAGTTTTTACAGATAATGCATTATAGTTGTCAATAATTATTATTTAATGCCGGTTCAAGGTTGACAGCTGCACTATAAATATTTTTACATTTGTTTCTTAGTATTTTAAATTACTTCGTTCATGTAATAGTTAAATAGCAATGTCGAATTAATCAAATATAAACAAATCTACTTATTACAATTAGTTTAACGTTCTAATACGCATTTCATAGTACATACTACTTGACAAACATGTTTAGTGTGATAATCTTCTGTTAAAATGCGTGTATTCCTACGAAAAGATAATTCAGTCAAGTTGTATTGATTTTCTTGTAAATTGACTGCCCCTTGGATTATTTTCATTAAGTTTACTTTCCATCAATTGTGTTATAGGTTATAATAATAATTATAAGTAATGTTTACAACTGTTGTTTTTATTTGTAACTATCGAGTAGTGTAAAGAGAATTGACATATTTTAACCGACAAGCGAAGCACTAAAAAACTTTACAGTGTAGAGCTTCTTTAAACATTGTCGACCGATTTTATTAGAATTTAGTATGTTTTACTGTAATATTTCCACTATTAAAACATTTTCCGAGGTGCAGTTGTAGTAATTCTTAAACGTGAACTACTAACAATAATAAGAGAGAATAAACAGGCCACCGTCGGGCTTTCACTCTGTACATAAATGATTTTGGTTCGTTAGGCGTCGAACATGGTCGGAAAACTGAAAATTTCTCTTCACGACTCGACGACTACAGTACAGTATTTCGTTATGGCTGTTATTATTTTTTTTAAGCAACGCGATTTATCGTTAACAGAAAATCTTATTCAAGCGACACTAGATGAAATGTGATGATATTTAAGCGACTTGACGTAGTCGTCAGAGCGACTACAACTCATAACCGTCCATTGTTGTAGTAAAAACATTCCCAAAACGTGGCTCTGTGCGTGTGTGTGCGTGTTTGTGTGTGTGGCAAGGGTCGGCCGCCGCCGCCGCCGCCGCCGTAGTAGCAATCTGTTTGGTGAGGCGACTGCAGCCACGCGACGGCATAGTAGTGAGTGCTGGGGGAAAACTGGTTCATCGTACAAAGACCCATAGACCCGGTCGAAGACGTTCCGTGTGAGCGTGTTGCACGGCCGTACATATATATTTATGTTATAATAATACGGCTACTATCTCGCTTTACTACCTCGTATGTCTGCTGTGTAAAACCCGTGTACGTTCGGATGAAGCGGGGGAGGTGTCGTTATGTTGGTAACCTTGACAGGTAAATTGTTGTTGTTGTCCGGGTGTAATTGACCTGAGACGCCGCCGTCGTCGCGCATCGCCTTGATCGAGCGAAAAATCCCAATAAAGTACTTATTTACATAATTATATGCAATGATGTAGACTTCCAGTCTNAATAAAGTACTTATTTACATAATTATATGCAATAATGTAGACTTCCAGTCAGTATGTAGGCGACTTTTAATTTGATAGGAGTATTACACGAGAAATACATTTTTGTTGTGTTGTGGCAACTATAGTACCGCAAAATAGTAGCGATCGATTATTGAATATTTTTTTTTTTATACTTTAATACTTACTTTACTCGGTTTGTTACTACGAATACCTAAAAATATTATTCTAATTCGTTGAATATCATTAGCGCAGTTCTTTCTTGGTGTTTTTAAAGCGTCTTCTCGCAATGAAGACCGCGGCATGATCATATATATTATTGTACGCAATTTAAACGAAAGGGAATTGAGGTTTTCGAATTGAGTCGACACGGTACTGATGTGGAAGTGTGCAAATAAGATTTCCTTTTCACCTGGTCGCCGTGTGCGAAAAAAACTTAATGCATTCATTCGCTGCGCGAAAAGACGGTCGGTGGTAATCCGATTGACCTGTTCAGTGCAGGAAGTACACGGTACACTTGCACAGTTTTTAATTCTCGACCTTATTATTTCCATGTATCCTCACCGAGAAGTTTCCGGGTACACAAAGTTTTTATTTGTCTGCTGTGGTGCTTATAAGGGCCTTTAACGGCCTTTATATGGCGTTCACTCGAGAGTGCCTTGTTAATTACGTTGTTATTTTTTAAATCAATTTTTCGCATTCGCTCGCTGCAGATCTTCTAAACCCAATGGTTTGACACTTGGCTGTCCTGATCGGTTATAGTTTGAGCACGACAATTGTCTGTTGTAAACCGAAAAAAATATTATGTGTGATTAATTTATTCTCGTCTCATACTACTCTTCTTTCTTCTACATTCGAAATGTTCTTATTGAAGTATATCCACGCGTATTACCGGTGG